TTTTGGTACCAGGGATTGAACTCAGGACCTTGAGATTGCAAGGCAGGTGGCAGCAGCACTGAGCTAAATTCCTGGCCCCCACTGAGCAGTTTCTGATAGAAGAGCATTATTTAATCAATACACTAACTATGTATTTTTTCAGCGCGATAACTTTAGTCACAGGTGTTTCCCGAGGAAGTTCTTCAGTAAAATAATTCATTATGATGGAGAGAAATGGGAGAAAGGCCGCCGTTGTAAGGAGATTTGCAAAGGTGTTGATGCAGAATGAAGGAAGCTTGCGTTTAACATAACCGCCCACTAACACCATTGAAAGAGCTATGACTGAACAAAGCAGTCAGCGTCAGAAAAGAAAATGAAGGGCCAGGGATTTAGCTCAGTGGCTCCGCAGCGTGCCTCGCAAGTGTAGAGTCCTCAGTTCGAGCCCTGCTACAAAAAAAAAAAAAGAGGAAATGAAACTCATAATGGCCTTCTTTTGGAAGTAGATTTCAAAAAGTCACCACCATCAAACCAACCTGTGTTTTTAAATTCATCTTTTAGTGGTTCAGAGCTCATCTTCCTTAGCAAGAACAGGAGCGCAAAAACTGCCAAAGAAACTGTCAAGCTCAGGCCCAAACAGGTCCAGAGAATGGCATTTGTTCCTTTCACTGAAGTGGCCATACCTTTATTAAAAGAATGTCAGAGAGATAATGAGCTGATAGCATAATATTCATATTAAACATGAATTGCTCACTATTCGATTCCCCCAGTTCGTCGGCGCTGACTTTTAAATTCTAAGAAACCATGTAATTAGAAGAACTGATAAAAATCTATGTCACCCACGGTGCTGAACGATTTGAGTTCAGTTCTGCATAAATTACTTTGCTGTCGTACCCATTTAGATAACCCCCTTGTTTCTGTTCTCTTTTTGATTTAGAAAAAGCTCACCATCTTTGCCCATAATATTTATTCGCTGAACAAATAGTCAAAACAGAGTATTTCACAGCAACAGACAGCAGCCGCCCTGGTCTTACTTACTTGCGCTACAGTAACGCTGGCAGGGTGGAGGAGGGGACTTGGAACACCGAAGGTGACACGGTTTGCAAGCACGCAGCAAACTGTCAAAATATTCATTTTGGAAGCACTGCTGAGCCATCTGGAACTCGATCGCAAGAAGAAATATCAGAATGATGGAACAGCGCGAAAGGACAAGTAAAAATCTCAAGAATCCCCCAGCAGATGTAGTGGCAGCAGCTAGAATGTGGAGGGGGAAAGAAAAAGAACTTGACAGCACTCTGCGGGCTCTTATGGGGACCGTCCGCACTGTGGCCAAGGATTTGAATACCACCTCGAATTCATGTTTCTCAGCTTGAGGCCTGGGTGGGGTGAGATGGGGTGTACATAGCAGAGCAAAACGTATCTGAAACTGAAACTGCTTATTTATAGACAAGGTTTCCCAGCCAGGTGACAGTTGCAAGATGCAGGTAAGCCTAGTACACCGAGCAGAAGGTTCCATAAATATCATGTGTTTATGTGATGAGCCCAGGAAATAGATAAAAGATTTTTATAAGACTAGATCTGTGTCCCATAAGCAGTTCAAATCTAACAGGGAAGATAGAAATAGACAACCAGTGGAAACTGCCAGAAGGTGAGAAGGAAAAAGTAATCAAACACGATTGCCAGGCCCTGAATCTAGGACAAAAACAGCGCAGTTGGGGGTAAAAGCAAGACGGTTGAAGAGAAGATAGGTTCGGAAATTACATTTTTGTTAAAGGAATCCATGCTGCATTGTTGAAAATTTAGAAACTACAATGAGCAGATAAAAAAAAAAAAAAACTACTCATGGTCCAAACTGTACTAATATCCACTTGATCTCCTGCCTTTATTTATTATTTTATTTTGGTGGTGGTGGTGGTATTGGGGGCCAAACCAGAGACACTCTACTCCTGAGCCACATACAGCCCCAGCCCTTTTTATTTTTAATTTTGGGACAGAGCTTGGTAAGTTGCCCAAGCTGATCTCGAACTCGTGACTCTTCAGCCGCAGCCTCCCTCACAGCTGGGAGTTCGGGTATGAGCTACGATGCCTGCCACCACTGTCCTTGGATGGATCCCAGAAGTTGCAAACAGGCTTCGGGTGGTGCCGTTTGACCATTCCCTGATATATGCCCAGTAGGAACTCCTGTGTCAGTGGAGGAACGCACAGAAAGACACAGTACCCTGGCCTTGTGCTATAAGAGGAGTCACTTGAGTTTGCGTTTAGCCATGCTACATGAGACCCTCCATATAGAAAGGTCCCGAGGTCAGCCAAAAATACAGAGCTCACGAGGCACAAAGGTGCATGCCTGTAAGTCCAGCTACTAGGGAGACTGAAAGGGGAGGATCATAGGTTCAAGGCCAGCCTGGGTAATGTAGCAGGAATCTGCCTCCAGATTTTAGAAGGAGCTGGAGTCAGGCATGGTCACAGCATGCCTGGAATCCCGGCTCTTGGGAGGCCGAGGAAGCAGGGTCAGGAGGAGTTTGAATTCCGCCTGCGCTGCATAGTGAATTCAAGATCAGCCTAGAAGAGTGAGACTCTGTCTAATTAATTAATATAAAAAAGCAGGAGCCGTAGCTCAGGGTGAAGCCCTGTGTTCACTCCCCAGTACCCTTACTCTCCTACATATACATGGACACGGAGGGCTCCGGTACAATGCAGGAAACTACAAACTGCATCTTCGGTATGGCATTGTTCTCCTGAGTTGATGGGGGAAAGGACACTGAGGAGGCTTGATTCTTAAGCATTAATTATATTTTATTTATTAAACTGAATGGTGTCTGATGTTTATTACAGTTTCCTTTCATTGTATTTTTCTTATTTTTGCACCTTTTTATGTTTTGAAAATAGTACATAATGCCGGGGGTTTAGCTCAGTGGTTGCACCGCCTGCCACGCGAGCATATAAAAAAAAAAGAAAGAAAAAGAAAATAGTACATAATTAATGTTTAAATGCTGATTAAATGGTAATAAAATGTGGAAGTTAAAAACATTTTTTAAAAATGCAAGGTTTGAGCCTCGAGAACAGTCTGAGCTAAGATATGATGAAAGTGCTGGTTTCCTCTGGGGCTGGGACAAGGAGCAGCTGGTCAGGAGCTTCTGCTCCCTCGGCACCTGCCCAAAGGGGACCTTTGGAAGACAGGCTGGGGACACAGGGAAAGCACGACTGGAGACGCAGAGGAGCACAAAGACAATGCCTGATAACAGCCACGCCCAAACAAGGTTTCAGGATGGGATGGGCAGTGGGCCAAGTTCTCCAGAAAGAGCAAAGGTGACAAGTGAAGGGAGGAGGTCATTGCTGGCCTTGATATCAGTGGACAGAAACTGGACAGTGTTTATGTAAGGAGCAGAGAGGGAGAGGAGACAGCCAATGTGAGGCATGTCTGGGAATCAGGAAGAAATACAAAGAAAAAAAGCCTCGATACCCCTTTGGAAAGAAAACAGTTGCATCTGACGTGTATTCACTGGGGTACTTGAAGTTACAGGTACATGTACAAGGATGTTCACTATAGTATTATGTACATTCACAAAAGGCTGGAATAGCCTAACAGTTCATCGGCTATAGAATACTGTACAGCCATGAAAAAGAATAAGCCAAGATGGGCATGGCAGCACACATGTATAATCCCAGCACTCTTGGGAGGCTGAGGCAGGAAGATCGCAAGTCTGAGCATAGCCTGGGCAATTTAGTGACTTAGTGAGATCCTATTTCAAAATTAAAAAAAAAAAAAAAAAAAAGTCCAGAGATGTAGCTCAGTGTGAATGTCCTTGGTCCAATACCCACTGCTGAAAAAGGGGTAAAAAAAAAAAAAAGATACTTCACTAATTAAAAACCGCAAGGGACAAGAAAAAATGGAAACAAAGTCATTGTAAATAGGGAAGGGTGAAGGGGGTGAAGGGAAGGCAGGGGAATGGGGAAAACATAAGCAAGATCTGTCATGTAAAGGTACAAGATTCCAATGATGAATGTAACTGTATTGTCTACCTAAGATGTACCAGTTCACTTAATGGAGGGGAAAAAAAAAAAGAGTAAGTCTGGCTCCTCCTGATCTCGAGCTTCCTGTCTCAACACTCTGTCTCTCCTCTGACACGTGCCATGCTCTTAGACCCCCAGAATTGTGAACTGCATAAACCTTTTTTCTTTGCAAAGTATGCCATCTCAGGTATTTTGTTACAGCAGTAAAAAAGGAACGAATACACTCAGGTTAGTTGTTCCGCTTGGTCTGATTCTGGAGGGAAACCTTGTGACCTCTCCAATATAGGCCCTTTTTAGTATACGTTAGATTCAGTTTGAATTACTAGTGATCCAAAAATAAAAATAAAATGCTTAGCCACATCACACAGTTGTTGGCTGGAAGTACATGTGGATTCTCCGAGGGGGAGACAGCAGATGCCTTCACCTCACGCACTTGATCATGGATCCCTTTTCTCCAAACGAACATTTAGGGACGTAAGTTATGTCGAACACAAGTTGGGGAAAATCAGCAAGTTATTTCCACAATTCTTTCCAGTTCACAAAGGCTGTAACTTGGGGACTTAGCAGAGCACAATCATATAGAAGAAGCAGGATTTTAAAACAAAGATTTTTTTTTTTTTTTAAGTTTCATGAGCTCGGCATGGAAAGAGCCAGTGCCAGCATCAGCTCGAGCTTCGGCCTTCACTCACAGTCTACTAAAGCAAAGAGAATCTGCCTAACCTCTCCAAAGCCAAAGCAGCTATCAGACGCTGCAAACAGTAGTCACGTTTATTTAGCGATACCAGAGCATTGCACTATAGGCATGACTGAGTAAAATGAAAGTAATCAGAGATTTAGACAAGGGGAAGATTTGAAAGGCACAGTGAGGAAGATTATATACCATATTTTCAAGCAATAGTCCTTGAGCTGGGTGTGATGGCACATTCCTGTAATCCAAGAAACGCAGAGGCTGAGTCAAGAGGACTACAGTTTGAGGCGGCCTGGGCAGTTTGGTGAGGTCTTTTCTCAAAAGAGAAAGGGCTGGGGATGTAAATCAGTGGCAGAACACTCGCTGAGCATGTGCAAGGATGTGGGTTCCATCCTTAGCCCAAAGAAAAAAGAAAGCCAGGCATGGTGGTGCATACCTGCATCCCAGTGCGAGGGTCGCGAGTTCAAGCCCAGCCCAGGCAATCTAGCAATTTAGCAAGACCTTGAGTTAAAAGATTTAAAGTCTGGAAATGTAGCTCAATGTGAAGACTGGATTCTACCCCCAGTACTGAAGGGGGGTGGGTGGGAGAGAATATCTTTGACTACAAAGATCAGTGACAAATGTTTTGCCAGTCCAAAGTTGAACAGATATTTGCTGAGTAAATGTGCTCACAGAAGTATGTTTTATGTAAGATTTTCATGGCCTTTAGGCAAGATTTTTTGGATCTGGAAGAGACTTTTGTTAATAGATCTAGTTATTAGGTGTGCCTACATGAGTTTCCCTCTTTCATAACTCCCAACTTTTTTCTTACCACATCTGGTCAAGCCTGGACAAAAGCGACTCCACTTTCAGCCCGACAACTTAGTAGCTTGTTCTATGAGGAAAATTCCACCTGACTATGGAGACTTCCTCCAGAATTACTAAACTAGGGGCAAGTTTTCATAGAAAAACATTAACCCCAAACCAAGAGAATACAATTTCTCCTTAGAACCTTAGTAGATTTTCCACTTGGAAAGGGACATCTAAGTCTGTATTAATGAGGGTTCTCCAGAGAAACAGAACAAACAGGATGCACATGCAGATGTTCCCCCACTTATAATGGGGCTATTAACCCATTGAAAACTGAAGATATGGGGACGGGGATTTAGCTCAGCGCTTCTTCCACTTGCCTCTCAAGGTCCCGAGTTCAATCCCTGGTACAAAAAAAAAAAAAAGGAAGATATGGACATAATCTACTGAACATCGTAATTTCATAGCACAGCACACTGTAGAGTGCTAGTTGTTTCCGCTCAGGATCACATGACTGACAGAGCTGCCCAGCATTAAAGGAAAGAAGCATCAGCATACAAAGTCATACACAAAAACCAGCAGAGCTCCTATACACCAATAACAAAGCTCCTGGGGAAGAGAGCAGGAAAATATTTCCATTCACAATAGCTGTGTGTTTACCTAGCAGACAAGCTTAGGGAAGTGAAAGATCTGCGTAAGGAAAATTGCAGGAGAAAGGCACTGAGGAAACATCAGCAAACGGAAAGACTTCCCATGTTCAGGGATTAGCATAATT